TGTGATTATCTACATTTCCTACAGCTTGGCAATGGTCAACATCAGATCATTCAGAGCAGAGAAAGGATCTTAACCTCTATGTAATGTATGACCAGATGCAGCAATCTTCCTAACAGAGAACTTTGTCTACTACTTCTGTAAGTAGATTCATTTTAAGAACACTACATTTTCTTAAAGCATTCTGGTGCTCCTTGCTCACAGACATTAGGCAAGTATTCTTTTGCAGTGGTGTCATCTAGTGGTCAAATTCAATGAAAAAAGATATTCCTTTTTTATATCTGCCACGTTCTGTGATTTCTTCTTTCTTATACACTACCTTTAAGCAACCTATTTTAGTCTGCAGGTGGTTGACTTTTTAAGTTCCATACTAATTGATGGACAGCAATTGGTTGTCCCCCAGCCTCTACAGGGAAGGGAAGGTATCATCACATAAGCTATTTTTAAGGGCGGAAGAGGGGGAGCTGAAGAGCTAGTAGAGTCGTCCAACCTAAAACCTCAGATCTCTTCACTGCTCAAGTCAGACTGCAAGCTTATAGATTAATTAACTAATTATCACACTGCTCATTTGTATACCCCAATAAAGACAGCCATTATTTCTTGTGATAGCACCCAGACTCAGAACACTGATTAAACCAGAACTGGTTGTTTACACATGCTTTAAATCTAGTTTTCCTCCAACAAATTAAAATAATTTAAAAAAATAAGCACACTGCTGACCTCAAGCAGAAAAGAATAGGTCCTACAGCTGAGTGAGTGAGGCTGTTGCAGGTTTTATTTGGTGTGTCTGAGCCGTTCACTGAGGTTACTTCAGGTAGGCCTTCCACACCACATAGTCCCAACTTTCAGTTAACTGAGTTTAGATGCCAAGATGTTGAAAATCAATTTCACAGGTTTCAAGTACCAATATTACAACACAGTACTAGGACACCAACAACTGGACAGGTTACTGCAGGAGATGCCAGTCCTTACAGAAAAACAAAAGGCCAACTAGTACGTTATGGGTCTTAAACTTTCAGTTCTGAAGCGCAAACATAGGAAGCAATTCCAGTGATGCGGTCAACATTTTTCCTCTGCTTCAATGAAGTGTGATCTAAAACGTTAGCTGCTTATTTTATATCTTAACTGATGATGGTTAACATGAAATACTGCTGTAATTCCCCTCTCCCAACAAAATCTCAAATAATTTCCATGCCTTTTTCAATAAATTACTTTCCATAAACAGCAATTTTACATTCTAAATAACAGTACTAATAGTGTCAGCTGTTTTCAATTCCTTGGCAACTCAGAACTTAATTTGAGATTAAGTTTTCTGTCTATATTATATGATGTTTCTGACCAACGTTTCAAATAATAATTTTGTCTTTTATGAAGGCAGTACTAGGAAAACATTGTTACACAACTCCTACAATTCTTTAACTGGGAATCCAAGCACCTCATGTTTTAAAGCATAGCACAGCTGCCACTTTGGAGAAAAGACAGCCCCAGTTTGGCCAGAAAAGCTGGACACATACAAGCCAAAAAAAGCTGGCAATTTTTAATCAATACATCATCTTAAAGTTAAAGAGAAAGCAGAATTATGTCCTTGTGGCTTCTACTAGATTACCAAATTGCACGCATCATTTTCAGAGACTGCCTGAACAAGCCACATCATAGCATTGGGGGGCTTTCTCCACAATGTCTTTCTGGTTGATAAGGGCTGTTAAGACACCAGACATACCAAAACAACAGGAAGACAGAATATCTCCCAAACTCTCTGAGTTCCTCCTACCAGACTTCAGCAACAAGGCAGAAGCAGCCAAATTCAAAACTGAGCAGCACTACAAAAGGCTGGAAACCAGAAGAGCCTGATAGGGACGCAAGACCAGAAAAAGCAATGGGGCATCAGATTCTGCAACAAGAAGAACACACGGGTTGGATACAAGAACCATCGGTCTCAAAAAAAAAAAAAAAAAAAAATCTTCTTTTGCCTAACCTCTGCACAAAGCACTTGTCCTCTTACTCTTTCTAGATCACCTGTCCTTGCGTATAGTACTGTAGACTACTTCATATGTTCAAGAAAAAAACATTTATATTAAGCCAAAATGCTAACCCTTCTAGTGTTTGTGTTCCCTCCCATTTATTTTGTTCAAAATCTAGAAAGCTGCATCAAAACAATCCATCCTACAAGAATATTACATATGCAAAGTTAGGAGTTATAAAATATCAGTACTTATATTGCTTGAGCAACTCCTGGTTACACACGCATTATGTTGTAGGCTTCGCATTTAATGATGCGCAGAGCTCAGATAACAAACGATCCTGCTGACGTTACACTTGCTAAAAACTCCATACATAAATGCAGTGGAAAAGTTTATAACACCATGACACAACTGGGTTTTCATGATCTGCCAAATTCTGTTGGTCTCATAGGATGCTATTACACTATAGATGGACTGTGATCATTTTTGCTAGAAAAGATCACAAAAACATAGCTGCACATGACACACACACACAAATCACTCCTGAACAGCCATGTTATTTACAAGTAACGTGAGTTGGTATAACCCCAATGTAGTACTTCAAAATACAGGTCAAAGTCAACTGTTAATTGGGCAGAAGAATAACTATGTCTCACCTCCTCCCACTTTGTATTCTTTAATTATGTATCTCTAAGTATAAAAATCGCTCTGCATTACCATGTTATTTGCACCATTTCCTGGATTTAGTATTAAAGGTCTGAACTAGCTCTCTGCTATACATTTGTCCAGAACATCAGTGGCAATCAGCTAAGGCGAATTTTTCATGCTTCATTTTATCAGACACAAATTTATACTTATGTAGTTTAAAACATACAATCTCTAGCAGATTAATTTTCGATGGAAAAAAAATTTATCTGAATCTTTGGTATTTTGAATGGTATCTAGCCCACCCCAAAGGCTTAAGAAATTTAGCTTATATGCTATTAATATGTTGATCTGTGAAAGTGGAACATAAACACAAAATTGTTAGATATGTATCTCAACACAACTTTGAATAACCAAGAAGATTGAATTAAAGGCTGGTAAAAAATGATAGCACTATCTTCATGTGATAGAATCATATCACAACTTTATCTGAACAGAATTTAGCTTACAGGGTAAGTAGAAACCATTTTGTTAAGGCAAACTTAAAAAGTGATTTATGATGGTCTAAAAAGAAAAGTGAAAAGGACTCTGAATTTCAAAAGACAAAGAAAGAAGACAGACTGGTATTTATCACACATAAGCCTACTTCTCATTTAAGCTTTGAAAAGCTAAGATGCACACACATAAATATTTTAGCAAAGAGTTTAGAAAAGTAATAGAAAGACAGGAGGGTTGTTCTTGGGGAAGAAAGGTTGTTCTTCTAAAGCATTCTTTTTGCTATTAGTTTGGAAACTGACAGTATCTTCAAAGTTTGAAAACAAAGGCATTTCATTGAACAAATGAAAACCAACACCTGAACTACACTGACAGTTCATAATGTTTAGGTTTCTAGTTTAAAAAAAAAAAAGAAGAAAAAACTTATTATCTAAGCAAAATGACTGTAATACTAGTGGTAACTTGACTCTAGTCATTAGACAAGTATAAAGATGAAAAAGATAGAAACAAACTTTGGATATAGGTTTTCTGTACAGAAAGCAGCAACTCTTCCTGTCCTGGCTTTGCAGACTGGTACTTCACTGGTTGAAAGGAATAAAGCAGGGAAGACATGGAAAGCTTTTCTGTTAAGCACTGACCTTACATACATACCCATACAAATTTCCTTACAACTTAGCTCCTGCAGTGCATCAACAGATTTTTCTTCCTGGTGTAGTACAAAATTTGCCTTAAGTAAGATCTGGATCAGCTACAACTATGTCCTCCAATGACCATTCTGAACCAGCACACTCCTATCACCCAGTACAAACTAGATTACGTGCCAAGGCCTCAGGATACCCACAGAAGCCCCATCTACTCTGCAATGTAAGCTGGCACCTTCCTCCTGAAAAAAGCAAAACAAAACCACCCCACAAACGAACAAAAAAAAAAAAAAAACAACCAGCAACAGCTGAACCCACAAAGGCTTTAACACACATTCTGCAGGTATTTCTAAGTTGAGCATGTCTAAGTCCTTCCCATTTTAAACTTCAGTTAGGTGAAAATACAAACTTATTTAGACAAAACATGGACCTTTTCTAGCACTCTTGCAGAAGCGGCTTTAAAGAAAGACTCAAGCTAGCTACGTGTTGTAAAACAACGTACTTATACTAGAGAGCCTATGTAATAATGATATGAGAAAGAAAGCATCTGAAGCTCAAAATTCTTCCAAGTTTTCAATCAGTCTAAGATAACAATAAAAACGCTTGCAATACATACATCAGCATAAGACCAAGCATAACACTAACTCCAAGTGGGGGGAAAAAACCCATCACACTAAATTCCAGATAATCATGCATCACAAACATTTTACAATTAATTCCCAACTTCTGAGAATGCAGTCACAATTTTCACCACTACCTAAAAAGCAAAAATCCAACTTTCATCGATTCTTTAAGCTTTCAGTAGTTCAGCCATTCTGAGTATACGAAACACCACGTGATGAACTACATTCTGCATGATTCATCAAAACTTTCATATGATTTTTAATTCATAGCTTCCCCTAGTTTCTCATTAAATCTCATTCTACAAACAACCCACCTTTCTCACACCAGGGGACTGACATCCCTTTGCAAATCCACCACACAGACCAAAAAACTGCAGTCTCAAGACCTGAGAGAGCTGTCCTGCCTCCACAGCTGCTTCTAAGCTAAGGAAAGAGATACCAAGCCCAGCAATACAATCCTTAATCTTAATTAAAGTAGGGAGGAGCAGTAACAGTATCACTAGCTTATGCATCACATCTCACTTCACAGGTGTTTGATGGAGTTTCATTATCCTGATTTCTGGTTTAAAAAAAAGCACACACAAAACCCACCCACACCAAACAAAAAGAAATACGTGTTTATTTTTAAATATACTTACCTTGCACCATTATTTCTAACTACTTCCACTGTTTCACCAACAAAATACCGATCCTTGACATAAGCAAAGATTTCATCACAGATCTCATGAAGTCGGGAGCGATGGGTAAGGGTGGCCAAGTAGAGAACTGGAATGATGAGGGCCTCTGGAAAACTTTGAAGATTATGTCTGGCTTTCTTCTCTGATTCCAGTGCTTCCTGATATGTGAGTCCTGGTTTACCTGTCACAGCACAGCTCCACACAAGGCTGTTGCACAGAATGGTGCGTTCAAAAAAATCACTGAAAAGAAAGGCAGGGTGAGGGGGAAGAGAGAGAGAGAGAAAGAAAACAGTTGAGTTCTGACTAACATTTTCAATTTGCTCACAGTTAATACAGCAGCAGATATCTTTTACAAGACTGAAATGCAAAGGCAGCTCTACTCCTGTACAGGTTGTGGATAATCAAGGGTTATTTACCACTTTTTAGCCATGGCATGGTAAATTGCTGTTGTAAAACCAAAGCCTCCTCCCACTACAGACTATGGTAACAGCATCAAGACCTAGAAGTGCTGCAAACAAATATTCACGTATAAGAAGCCTTATGCATAAGAATAATCACACTGAGTTTTAACAGGTATCATATCCTCCTCACATCTCCCACATTTCCACAAATATTTGCAAGAGGAGGGTCTAAAACTGTACAAACATAAAATAACCTTAAGATCACAGAACCATGTTGAAACTTGAACAAGTTTCAGATTTTGAGTGCCCTAGCTCACAAATTAAAAGATGGGAGAGGTAAAAAATTAATGTCAAGTGGTTCTCTAAATAGTTTTTATTCCTACACTGTTTGCATTGCTCTTAGGAAAAGCATTGAACTATTTTTTCCTACAGATTCTTCTCCTCCATTGTTCCACTAGCAAAAATCAATTCTCCTCCTTCCCTGTATTTCCAATTAATGCTAAAATTACATTGTTGTTATTGCTTATTTACTAGTTACTATATTGGAATCAAGAATGAAGAGTTTTCATAAGTCAGTGTCTGTCAATTTTTGACAGGTATCAGAAAAACAGCAGTTTGTTAAAACACTTTCTAGATTAGAGTAGATGATAGAGCTATTCACAAAACCATGTTAAAACTTATCATACACTATGGATCAGTGATTGGACAGAAGAGCAATCTTTCAATATGCCCCAGTTCAGACAATGGTTTTTATTTGCTTTCCTTTAAAAATCTTAACAGACCAATATTGATGAGTACACAACACAACAAATACTGTTTTCTCTTGTATCAGTTCAACATAGCTATTTCAAGGCAAACAGTACTTTCAGAACACTGCATGCTACACAAGATACCTATACTGGAGTTTCATTCCTGAAAAAAAAAAAAATTACACTGAGTGTTCCCATTTTTAAAAGGCTAGAACTGTTCAAATAATTTCTAATAATGGGGTTAGAGAATTGGACAGTTCACACTTCAGAGTTTTTCTTGCAGGCTCCCTGCAAACTCAAGCCGGCAAACATGCATCAGACAGACTGATGCAGAAAATGATGTTCACTGCAGATGGACAGATGAACCATAACATTTTGTAAATGAAAATGGAAATTCCAGATTGAGGACAATGGAAGGTCCTGGCTCAGATAATCCTTTCTGTATGAGCATAGGATTCCTCTGAGTGAGAGAAAGATGCTTTAGTAAGAACATCAGCTGCAAGAAGGGGAAAAGGACAGAAGAGGAAGAGATATATTATCCAAATAATATTTAATAGCTACAAAATCTCAGATTTTTTTATATCACCTGCATCTACTTAATATATTTGACAGTACATGGGTCTAACACTTGTAAGTAACAAGCAATAATTTGGGTTTGCTTACTCTAAACAAGAAAAGGTGAAGAACAAAGGAGAGAGAATGAGAGAAATTATTCTTCAATACATGAAGAACGGATGGCTGTCAGTCATTCTTTGTGCATAGGACAGAATATCCTTTTTTTGCTGTCAACCACGGTGTATCAGTATCTTTATAGGGTATAGAATAGTTACTTAAACATTTTAAAGAACAGGTTAGACAAAAATCTGCTGCCTTTTTTTTTTTAGAGGTGATAAAACATGATCTCTTCAGGTCTCTTCCTGCCCTACATTTCAATACTTCTGTATTAGATTCACAATAATTTTTAGTAGTCTTACTGACTTCAATGGATAAAGAAACATTTACTCAAATCTTCATGCAGCTGTGTGTCTCTACATACATTTTTATGTCTCACCAAAGAGGTTCTTGATAATTATCTTTAGCCATGAAAGAGAAAACCACCCTAAGAGTTATTAAAAAAGGTACCAGAACATATTTTCAAGAAGTATGAAAGTAAAAGGGGAAAAAGAAAAGGGGGGTAGAGAGAGCAGAGAGGGAGGGAGAGACTGAGGTTGACGCTGACCGTGTCCCTTTAAGAGCTGCTGTTATTCTTTGTGAGGGTATACCGGCAGTCATGCTATTTAAAGCAACAGCATTGAACTTACAGGGAAAAAAAAACACAACTGAAAAAAAACCCCAACAAACCCCCCTCTAAATATTTTTAATCCATGATTATTACAAGTGCAAAATTCTAAGATTACTTTAACTGAAACTTATTTGAGGAAAACATTTTTCCATTTGCATACAAGAGTAGTTCGTGTATCTAGTTTCATTCTCCCTCATTTCCTCTTTTGTTTTGTGTGGATTTTTCCCCCGTGAACTTACAGGGAAGACAAAAATTGTGTGAAAAAAATTACATTCGATTTTGAAAGCATTATTTGTCTTTAGCTAGTCATTACCTACAGCACATCAAAACCATCTGTGGCTTAGTCTGTTAACACAGTTTTATTACAATGTTTTAATGATCTCACTTTAACTTGGTTTGAGGGAGAGGAGAAAACAAATTCCCAACAGTATAGGAGTAGGTGTTATTTGTAGTACTCTTTCTGTCCCTGTCTCTCTCTGGTGCACGTCAGTTATCACAAAAAGACTTACAAAAAGCAGACACAACAGCTACCAAACCAAGAGAACAGCAGCGGAAGGAGCGATACCCTTTCTCCTTAAGCAAGAGTAATAGCACATGATCATATTCCACGTTCAACTTAAATTCACAACAGCAAGTGCATCTGCTGCTAGGTTGCATCTGAAGCCTTATCTACATCTTTATCTAGGGTATTACAGTCTTCGGGGCTTCCTCACCGGTTCAAGATCTCTCTAACTTGACAACACAGAGAAGGAAGTTCATACAAAACACATCCACAAAGCTCACTTGCATGGTCACATCTGCCTGCGAGAAGTCAAACAGGACTGCAGCGCCCTGGTGAAGATGTCCACATCAGCTCAACTACTCGAGGAGCAGAGACTAAAAACTTGAGTTGTCTTTGTAGTAGTAATTAATGCTGACTTCTCAGCTGGATGCCTTTTTTTCATTTACATTATATAGTTAGTTTTCCACGCAAGGCAAGGCAAACAAAATTATCAGCAAATCATTAAGAAGTAGTTTAATACCGCTACTTGGTAGGTATTTGATAGGAGGCAGTTCATTAACAGAAGCTAGAAATAAATCACTTGCAATCTTTGTGCTGACCGCACTTGCAATGGATATAAAAATCCAGCCTAGAAATGACAGATGCCTTTTGCTTGAACTAACGAAGTACTTCCATTGAGTCCAAGATCTACTGCATTTTTAGTGTGTTTCAAGAAGATGTTTGTTTCTAACCATTTACTTTCATTCATTTCCTTAGCATATATTAAAAACAAGTTTGGGGGGGGGGAGGAGTTGTTTTTTGGTTTTTTTTTAAACAGAATTATATATCAGAGAATGTAAAATATGAGAAAGTCATGTTAAGTGAAATTTAAGAGAGAGGGAAAAGGCAGGAAAAAAACTATCTTTGGGATGGCTAATTTGTAATAATCGTTATTTTTAATCCCAAAGCCCCTGTGAGCTTCTAGTATATAATCTAGTTAGTCTACGGTTGGAGGGCAATCACCGAAGACCAACTCTGCCGTTCTGGATCACAAAAGCATTCTTGCACTCTGCCTTGTCTCCAGAAGTGGTCAATAATACATGTTACAAAGTAATGCACAAAAGAAACAAACAAACAAAACCACAACTGAGAAAGAGACATCTATTCCTTAATATTTATAGCTTAGTTACGCATTAAGGAATATATTTCAAGTTACGAGTTTCTCTTCAACAGAACAGAAAGGTCAACCTAATTTAACAGGTCTCTTTTGAACAGGTCTCTTTTTGACTGTAACCAAGAATTCCACAGCTCAATCTATAAAGAAGTTTCGGTAAGTTCTGAAGATGCAAAACTGCTCTTTCCCCCCAGCGTTTTAGAATGAGGAACATTCCCGCCACTGTACCTGTACTACTCATCGTTTTCTTTTTCAGGCTGTCTTCACAAGCAAAACTTCCCATACTTTAACAGTAGCTTTCACCACACATCTATATCCACTGTTAACTTTCACAGACAAGGTATCAAAGACTGGTGGTAACATCCCACCGGTTTAATGTGTTTCTCATCCATCCCATGCATCTTGTGCCCACCCATACTTGCTTTTCCAGCTACTACTGTGGCTCCAGGGTCTCTTTTGTTGGTCTGTCTCAGAGTCTGTCCCTCTAACCAGGAGTACAACCAAGCATGAAGAACATCAGTTCCGCCAGTTCCTGTTACTCCTGATAAATACAATCAAACACTGCCACCTCACTGCACCCCCTTTTAAAGGGTTACAAAATTATGCAATGGTATTTCAGATTAAAAAGGAAATACATTCTTAACGGGAAAGTCACTTTACAAAATACTAGTCTTGCCAAATTCTCCTCACATTAGCATAATGCTTTCTTACATAGAGAAGAGTAATACTAATGTATGATTTGTATTCATCTCTACTAAAGCTGCCATGGGCATGAAAGAAGCTTTTCAACACTAAGTTTGTGCTCTGTTTAAAAAAACAAAACAAAACAAACAAAAAACCAAAACACAACAACAACAAAAAAACAACAACAAGTAAACAAACAAGAAAACAACTTAAGTCTTAACCATTTGTAGTAATTAAAAGCATTCCTATAGTTGAGGAAGGGGGTGAATTCAGGTTACCATTATGTATCTATACAGCCCACTTGATCTAGTCAGACTCGGTAATTTTTGAATTCTCCCCTGAAAAATTCAAGTTGCTACTGCAAAAGTAGGTTCAGAGAATCATTTAGACAATGGTTTTCTTTCACGCAACAAAAAGCTAACACAATTTTTAAAAAGTGGGCCCTCCCTATCCCCATTAATCTAATTGCCCTTGCTTAGGCAAAGAAATGGGAGATGTTTTCGGAAGACATCAGCTATTTGAAGCACCACTTTGCAACCAGCAGAGACAAGGATCAGCACCTTTAAAACTTGCTGAAAGATGGGCCTGTGTTCTCTGGTAGATTATGCCACAAACAGCAAACATTAATCCAAACTTACTCATCTGTGCTAGGACACCTTGCTAAGTAAAAAATACTAAACTTTTCAATCCAAAGCACCAGTTTTACCCAACCTAACAAAAAAAGCCAGAAGAGAAACAAAACCCCACCCCACATACACAAGAACCAGGCATAGTAGAGTTTTCTGCAAAGTTGTCCCAAATACCATATTCTAAGCCCTGACCTCTGAGCTAACCACCCGCTGACATTTCTAGGGATTGCCTGTGTGAACGCAAGTCTAAATTTATCCCTTAATTTGTGAACTTTGGTTAAATGTGGAATTTGGTCTTTCATACTTTTTCTTAGCGACAACATCCCTGCAGTGTAAATAAGCCTGTCAGAGTACTTAAAATATTCACCAGACACTTTTGAGAGCAGAGAGGCGTTTTAAAAGGATACTTTTCATGCTGAAATTTTAGCAAAACTACACATACGTGAAACATATTTCAGTGCAGTGTCAACAAATACATGACAGTCATCTAATTAGGTGATAATAATAATTGTAACCAGAAAAGCAGCTTTCAAAATATTGGAAGCTGGGGGAGGGGGACTTAATTCGTACAGGAACAGGAGGCTGTCAGCTCTTGCTCATTAGGTTCTTATACGCCCTATAATGAAAACACTCCTTACAAAACTTCCAACAAAAAATTCAACCCCCCCTGTGTCCGTCCCCCCCCCCCAAAGTATATCGTCCAGGAAGCACTAAGGCATTACCCTCGAAAGTTACCCAACGCGACTTCTTTAAAATTTTATTAGGTGAAGCGTATTTGAGTAAGAAAAACAAGTCTAAACACGAAAAAGATTTAGGTGTGCTCTAATTTCATAGGCTACAAATGAAAACTATTTCAGATTTAATCTCATCAGTCTGCACGTCTTTAAAAAAAAATAAAAAGAGAGCTTGGATGCGGGGGCCTTTTTGTAGGCGGGGATGGTGCTGGATCGGACCAGGGGGTGAAAACACAGACGTTATCAGCTTTTGAAAAACGTCTCGCTAAATACTTTCTGTCCATTGTTCTTACAAGCGATAAAGTAAGCGGCAGCAAGTTCGGGACTGCCCGTGCAATAGGCTTTCAACGGTTAACGACAATTTCACCACGTCCATTGGTCCTTTTACACACGGAGAAGGCAAAAAAGGAAAAACAACAGAAAACAAAAAAAAAGGAAGGGACGGGAAGAGGGAGGAAGACAGATCCTGAGGGGACAGGTGTGCCCGCTCGGCTCCAGGCCGGGTTTAACCGCCGGCGGTGCCGCCCGCCCGCCCGGCCGGGAAGGCAGCGGGACCCCCGCCCCGCCGGACAGGTGC